CTCTCCTCCTCTCTCTCTCTCTCTCCCTCTTTTCCTGTCATCCTTTGTCGTTTTGTTGTATTTGCGCTTCTCATTTTATGGGATTGAAAAATGGTACTTATGGGCTATTAAATTCCATAAAGTGTAATAAAGAGTTGAAATTTTGCTATTTTATCTTTCTTATTTTGTTCGTTTTTTTTTGAATTTTTTTTATTTAAAATATAAAATTTTTTATGAAAATTTCAAACTATTACAATTTCTATTTTTATATTTATTTTTATTATTTTTGCATAAAAATGGTTAATAGTTAAAATTTGAATTTATCGAATTTTTCAAAAAAAAGTTTTATTATATATTGTAAATGCATGCTTGTAGTGAATGCATTTTGTCGACTAAACAATAATTTGCATTGTTTTGAAATAAATTCAAAACAATGAGATAAATAAATGATTAAATAATAAATAAATGAGTAAACAAACAAATAAACAAACAGATAAATGAATAAGCAAATAGATAAGCAAGTAAATAAATAAATAAATAAATGGATAAATAAATAAATTAGCAAATAAATAGACTAATAAATGAATGAATAAATAAACAAAATAAATGAATAAACAAATAATAAATGATAAATAATAAATAAATGAACAAATAGATAAACAAATGAATGGATAAATAAATAAATAAGTAAATCAAAAAAGAAAAAAAAAACAAAATAAGCAAATAGATAAATAAGTACGTAATTAAATGGATAAATAAATGAGCAAACAAATAAATAAACAAATAAATAAACAAATAAATGAACAAATAATTAAATAGACAAACAAATACCCAAATGAATACAAAAATAAGTGAATTAGAACTAAATAAGTGAAGAAATAAGTAAATAAATAAATAAATAAATAAATAAATAAATAAATAAATAAATAAATAAATAAACAAATGAATAAATAAATAAATAAATAACCAAACAAACAAATAAACAAACAAATAACGCTAGAGTATTTTATTATCTTAAAATATTTTCAGTATTATAATGTATTTATTCGCAAGCACATACTTTTTGCGAATACTTTTTCATTTAAAATAAAATCTGAATTCATCCTTTCTTTTCAAAAAAAAAGTATGTATAAAATTAAATGAAATAAAATTAATGGAACATAAAATTGAATAAATTAATGAATGTGAAATAGAGAGAAAATAATAAGTAAAAAGGTAGTAAATTAAAATCATAGAAATGATAGGAAACTGTAAAATTAACCAACAAAACATAGAGGCAATAATTGAAAAATAGTAATTAATTTAAAAGATTTCAATAAGTTTAAAGTACTTGGAAATTTAATTTATCGAATTTGCAAAAATTTTTGAAATAAAAAAGAAAATCAAACAATTTTTCCTCTTTTCGTTATCATTCATTTCCCTAAAAAAGAATGAGAGAGTTATTTTATGGTGATAAAGGTGTGATAATCAGGCTAAATTAATGTTAATAATTAGAGAATTATTCTAAATTTTAATTTGCATGAAAGATCAATTCTATTCTAATCATTAGATGAAATATTTCAAATTTTGATCAAACATAAAGATCAATTCTAGGCTGATCATTGGATGAAATATTTTAAATTTTGATTATAACAAATATTAGCAACAGTTAATTGGTTATAGAAAGTTGCTTGGTAAAAATTAACCAAATTTGTAATAAAAAATATTTATTGAATCTTTGAGAGGATAATTAAGCAAATAATTGAATTTAATAAGTTTACTCAATATTTCCTTCTCTTGAATTTAAATTGCCATTAATTCGAAGACATATAAGTTTATTTCATCCCTCAATAAATTCATTTGATTTAATTAATTATAACATAAATTAGTTTCAATTAAATTATTCTACGCAACTATGGGTCGATAGAATTTTGACGTTTAACAATTTTCGACTATCCATATGATAATTTTCGATCGAATCAATTTATTACTTTGGTTAATAAAATAAAAAAATTAATTTTTCCTTTTTAACATTTCAAAATATTGAATAATAATTAATCGAATAAAAGTTTTACAAACAAAAATAATGAATGAAGAAAGCTAAATCAAAATGTTGCTAATTTTTTAAATAACAAAAAAAAAAACAAAAAAAATGATGAAAAAAATTTTTTCCAAATATCAAAAATTAGCATTTCCTGCTTCATTAATAATTCCTACTTTAATTATATACATTTAATTAAATCAATTATTCTCATTTTACTTTATTAACCATCATCAGTTAGTTTCATTTCAGCCAAATTCCATTACCATTACCACTAACCTTAATTAATCAAAAGTATTAAAAGAAATAAACAAATAAACAAATAAACAAACCTGAAATGGGAGTGTGTGACATATTCCAAGCGAAAAAAAAAAAAAATTGCACACTTTTCGTTTATCTCGTAACCAATATATATGTTCTTAATCTGTATTATCAAATCAAATAAATTAATCTAATTTGATCGATGATCTTTGCTCTTATTAATCGAAATTTCTACAATAATTGATTACAAAAAAAAGGAAGAAAAAGTAAACAATAAATAGTTTGTAGTTATAGGAAAAAAAGAAAAAAGCCATATATACGAAGGGAAATAAATGTCGAAATAGACTGAAAAAATATTTGAAAAAAAAATTTCCTTTTTTTTTTTAGAAATCACGAAAAATTTTTAAGCTTCTCTTCACTTCGTCCACTTCACCAATCTTTTCCAGTTCTTATCACGCAATGAAAAGGAGAAAACAAAAAAAACGATGGATCC